TAGCAAGGCTTACCAAGAATTTCCAACACTTAGCAGGGCTCCAGGGCTGAGCAGAGCGTGACAAGGTCTATTCTGGTTAAATGGCTTTACCAGGGCTTACCAGGGCTTGCCAAGCCGAGCAAAGCTGAGCACGGCTTAGCAGGGGTTAGCAGAGTGGGCCAAAGTTTACCAGAGCGTTGCAGCGATCAGCAGAACTTGGCAGAGCTTAGCAAGGCCGCGCGTGGCGTAGCACCGCTGTAGGGCTTGCCTGGGGATTTTCAAAACTTAACACGGCGGTGCAATTCTTACCAGGACGTGCCAGGCTTCACCGGGGCTTGGCAAGCAACTATGGCAAATTCATGGCTGGCTGCGCTTACTGATGGAGATGACGGCACACTGACTGCATCGTTTAAGTGGAGCGAGAGAGAGAGAGAGAGAGAGAGAGAGAGAGAGAGAGAGAGTGGGAGAGTGTGTGTGTGAGGGAGAGGGAGAGAGAAAAGGATAATATTAGTGATGACGTTTAGGAAAACAAAATTCAAACCTTATGAAGAGGAGAAACTACTATGAAACGGAGGGGGGGCAGAGGAGCGGGGGCAGCGAAAATATGGGAAGAGGAGGAGGATGGATGAGGAGGAGGACGGCCAGGAAGGGGAGGAGGAGGAGGAGGAGAAGGAGGAGGTGATGGATGATGACGAGGAGGAGGAGGAGGAGGAGGAGGAGGAGGAGGAGGAGGAGGAGGAGGAGGAGGAGGAGGAGAAAAGGGAGGGGGAGGAGGAGGACCATCGCATGCTAATGAGGAAGGTTAGGGTTAGGTCGACCCGACCCAAACCGAAACCTTAAGGTTACATCCGTTTTCCCCTTGCGCACTCTTTCGACCCTGCGTAGCCGCCCCTTCCTTGAGGAGCTGGGCTGCAGGGAATGGCAGGGAAAGTCGGGGGCGGGCCTTCATGCTGTCCTTGGGATGACGGCCGCCTGAAACCAGAGACCACGCACCTTCCGAGAACTTACTTCTGAAACGCTCACTGCATTCACCTTTGAGTCCCTTGAGGTTGCTCTCCGAGTATCGGCCGCACCTCTTGCAAATAATGAGAAAGGACTCGACATCAAGGTAATCGCTAATCATAAGACGGTGCTTCTTGGGTTCTTTAATTAGCTGGGACAGCACTACAGAATTGCCAGGGCAAGCTTCGCACGAACGAGCCTGGCGGGTGCTGTCGGTGCGGGCACGAGTGTGACACGCTAGGCACAACCAGTGGTTGTTGATCCAACCCCACTGGTGGCGAGCCAAACTCTGAGGGTTACGGCGGCCCGCGCGGGCTCGCCGAGGCTGACCCTCAGGGGGCTGAGAGGGGCGGGGTCCAGTCGTTGACCGCACCCGCGGCTCCAACAGGGGGGTTGAGGCTCTTGGGGGGCTTCACGTAGGCCTTCTTGCCCGTCTTTGGGGCGAGGGGCTGCCACAAGGAAAGCGCCTCCGCTGCATACTTCACAAAGTGGGGAGGAGGAGGAGGAGGAGGAGGAGGAGGAGGAGGAGGAGGAGGAGGAGGATGAGGACGAGGAGGAGGAGGGTGAGGACGAGGAGGAGGAGGAGGAAGAGGGGGAGGAGGAAGATATTGTCGGTGTTTGTTATGGTGATGATTACGATGCTGATGATGAGTGGTGATGGTGGTGGTGGTGATCATGGGAATGACATGGTTGTGATGATGGCGGTGGTGATGCTGATGCTGATGCTGCTGATGATTTCAATGCCGCCCAGGATGACGAGGGCGATGACGATGCTGCTGATGATGGTGATGCGGATGATGGGAGTGATGATGGTGATGATGATGGTGGTGATGATGATGAAAATGGTGATGGTGATGGTGATGATGATGCTGATGATGCTGATGCATATGATGATGATGGTGATGATGATGCTGTTGATGGTGGTGATTATGATGATGATGGTTTTGGTGGTGATGATGCTGAGGATGATGCGGATGATTCGGATGATCATGTTGGTCCTCATGATGCTGGTGATCATGCTGCTGATGCTGATGATGATGATGTTGACGATGATGAGGAGGAGGAGGATGAAATGCTGATGAACAAGAGTGGGCGGATAATAATTGAGTTGGAGGGGGGGGAGCAGCTGGAGGGGAATACTATCAGTAATGAGGAGGCGGAAAAGGAGGAGGAAGACGCTGAGCAGACGTAGGTGACATAGGAGGAGCAGGAGGAGTAGTATAATGAGGATGAGGACGAGGACGAGGACGAGGAGGAGGGGGAGGCGGAAGATGATGAAGAGACGAGTTTCTTGTGTTGGGCTGTGTCAAGCCAAGTTCACTTCATAGTCTCTCGACTATCTGGCGGCCGCTTGGTTGTGTCGGCAAGAGCAGTCGTCGATGCCTTCCGCGTCTCTACCTCCACTTCCTCCTCGTCCTCATCTGCATCCACCGTTTCATTCCTTTCCCTCCCTCCCTCTCGTCCTCCACAAGAGCAGGCGCTCATACCCAGTGAAAGCAGTCTACGGCGCTTGGTGGCACTTGGTGTTCCCCTCCCAGTGACTCTTTAAACCTATCCAAGTGGTAATGCGGCTAAGATCCCCCTGCTCATCCTGATCCTCCAGCTGCCTGCTGCTTCTTGTCCTCCTGACTCCCTCTCCTCCCCCTCTTTCCCCCATGCGGTGACCATCGGCAGCGGACGAACTCCCGCGAGCTGGGCCCCGTTCCCGCTCCTCCCCCCGCTCCTCCCCGGGGGACGGTTGGCTTCCTCCTCCTCGTCCTCTTCCACCTCCGCGCTCCTCCTCCTTCTCCTCCTCCTCCTCCTCCTCCTCCCTCTCGTCCTCGTTCTCCTCCTCCCTTGTCCTCCTCCTTGCCTCCTCCTCCTCCTCCCCTCCTTGTCCCCCTCTTTGTCCCCTCCTCCTCCTCCTCCTCCTCCTCCTCCTCGTCTTTTTCCTCCTCCTGAGGACCTCCTCCTCCTCCTGAGGACCTCCCTCTCCTCCTCGTCCTCCTCCTCCTCCTTCTCGTCCTCCTCCTCCTCCTTGTCCCCCTCTCCTTCTCCTCGTCTTTCTCCTCCTCCTGAGGACCTCCTCCTCCTGAGGACCTCCTCTTCCTCGTTATCCTTCTCCTCCTCCTCCTCCTCCTCCTCCTGAGGACCTCCTCCTCCTCCTCGTCCTCCTCCTCGTTCTCCTCCTCCTCCTCCTCCTCCTCGTCGTCGTCGTCCTCCTCCTGCTCATCGTCCAATTCCTCTTTCTCCTCCTCCCCCTCCCACTGCTGGCTTCTGGCAGCATGGATTTTTCCGCAAGCTGCCACACAGCCTTCAGTACTTCGCCGATGACCGCTTCATCCCTGAAGAAGGGTTCAGATATCCGTTTAGCGAGCTTGGTAGTCTTTCTCTTCCCTGTTTCTCCCGCTCGTCCTCTTTGTCCTTCTCGTTCTCGGCGTCGTGGACGTCGTCGTCGTCGTCGCCCTCTTCCCTCCTTCATTTCTGAACTCCTCTGCCTGATTCTGCCTCCTCTTTCCTCTCCTTGCCCCTGCACCTCGCCAGGACCTGCCCGAGCGGTGATCCGGGCCGCCGCTGCGCAGAGGGCCAGCCCGCGGGCAGTGCTGCCCGCAGTAGGAGGAGGAGGAGGAGGAGGGAGGAGGAGGAGGAGGGAGGAGGAGGAGGAGGAGGGAGGAGGAGGGGGAGGAGGAGGAGGAGGAGGAGCAGGAGGACGGGCAGTGCTGCCCGCAGTGGCAGCTTGGCCCGCGCACGGCCGCCGCGGGCGGAGGCCGGAGCGGAGGCCGGCGCAGACAAGGCGCTCCTCCCTCGGAGAGCCCGGCGGGCCTCTCGGCGTGCAGGTCCGGCCTCCGTGCGGCGGGCGCCCTTCCGCCGTGGCGGGGCCCCTGCCAGGTTTTCTGTTGGTGGTTGGTTGGCTCTCGAGGCTGGAGGCTCTTAGGGGGCCTCTGGGTTCCTCCCTTCCCCCTCCCCCCCCCTCCCCCTCGTTCTCATCCCTCTCGGCTCCATCTCCCTCAACGGTGCTGATCCTTCCGTCCTGGTCCTCTTTACCCTCGCGCCATCGCATCGCAAGGGTGTGTGCCACAGGCACGGTAAACGACAGAGTGAGGCAGGTACAGGGATCTGCGTACGGAGAGGGAGATGTAGAAGGATGAGTTTGTGGATAGATCGAGAGACAGAGGGCAGGGACCGCAATGGAGGATTTAGAAAGACGGAGCTATGGGTGAAGTTGCACTGGCTAGTCGATTTAGCATGGACTTACCCGGGAAGGTCGACAATAGTCGAAGTAACATGGGGTCGAGTTCTTCGAATAGGATCGGGTCGGAGGGCGGAGATGGAGGCCGAAGCGATTCAGAAGTAGAGTTGCACTCAGGCACCCAAATGGGACTCGCGTGACCCCAATTCGAGGTGTTCTTCTACCCCAGCGCGAGACGAGTCAAAACACGACAATTCAAAGCTAAGCAGACCAGACCAATCCGATGCAATCCAACGCGAAGTAGTATACTACACACTCAAGCAGTTTCGCAGTACGCACTATCAAACTCTAGAATTACATATTGCGAGCCCGTGCACATCACGTAAATCATGCATAGTAATGCGAAGCATGGTGGAGAACAGTAATGCAATACAATCAAATGAGCAGCAATGCATTTCAGATCAATCCAGTGTAAAACAAACCAAAGCAACGCACACACAGTCCCAATGGAACACGGCCAAGTTACTGCACAGCAGCGCAACGCAAAGCAAACCAACGCAACGCAATCATCGCGATGCCATGCAGATCCGCGCATTGTGGCGCAATTCGCATACATCAGCGCGCGCCAGCGCCAGGCAGAGCACCGCAAGCAGTGCAGAGCAATGCGACGCCAGGCGCCGCGGTGGACACCGATGCAAGTGCAGAGCGATGGGCACGACCGCACAATGCGGGTCAACCGACGAGCAGGGGGAACGCAGCGGGGCTCGGATGCGACGGCTCGGCCAGACGGCCGGGCGCGGGGCTGCAGACGCGGACGCGTGGAGGCGCACGCCGAGAGGGGCGCAGAGGCAGGCCTGCGCAGGAGGAGCGAACGCGAGGGGGAAGGAGAGGCAGGCGGAGACGAGAGAGTGACAGGGAGAGCGCGAGCGAGAGAGAGAGAGAGAGAGAGAGCGAGAGAGCGAGAGAGAGCGATAACGAACGCAGACGACGAGAGGAGGAGAGGAGGAGGAGAGGAGGAGGAGGAGGAGGAGGAGGACGAGGAGGACGAGGAGGACTCCGGAGGACGAGGAGGGCGAGGAGGAACAGAGGCTGTGCCGCGCCACGGGCCCCTGGTCCGAGGCGCTCCGAGGCACGGCACGGCCCGCGCTGGTCGACGGCGCGCACCGTTTGGCATGCTCCGTTCGACAATCGTCCCCCCCCCCTCCTCCTCCTCCTCCTCCTCCTCCTCCTCCTCCTCCTCCTCCTCCTCCTCCTCCTCCTCCTCCTCCTCCTCCTCCTCCTCCTCCTCCTCCTCCTCCTCCTCCTCCCTCCTCCTCCTCTCCTCCCTTCTCCTCCTCCTCCTCCTCCCCTCCTCCTCCTCCTCCTCCTCCTCCTCCTCCTCCTCCTCCTCCTCCTCCTCCTCCTCGTCCTCCTCCTCCCCGTAGCCATTTTGGCTCAAGTTCGAAACCTTGTCGCGAGGCTTCGAGCTTGTCCGCAGCCGTGCGGCAGGCTCGGGATCTTTTCGGCGTGTCATCCACCTGGTGACCTGCCCACGCCACCAGGTCGCTTTCCTTGTGCGGCTCCTGGAGCCATTCGTCTTTCCTCTTCCGTGAGCTCCTGTTGGGGCACCTGGCCCGCACCCTCTTTTGCAACACTGGGTGATGGGTTTGGATCTATGCGTCATGGACAAAGAAATCTCGAACAGGTGAACGCAGCTCCCAGGCCAGGAAGGAGTGCAGCGTTTGCTCAGTCTGCAAGCACTGGGACCATGACTTCCACGGCCGCAAGTGTTGCTCGAAGTGTCAAGGTGAGTACATCCAGCGTCCTCGGGGCGGTGCCCGTGATGCTGGCGATGAGCGCGGTGGTGGCCGCGCTTGGAAAGGCAAAGGGGATGGAGAAGGTCCTTTTCTCGATGCTGAGCTCGAGCGGCTTGCTGGCCTTTTCCCTGAGTGTTCTGATGTTTTACGTGGTGCTCGGATTGCTGAACCCCGTCCGCCCGCCCCTGTGCCTGTTGCGTCGTCCGGCAATGGGTTGGAAAAGAAGGTCGCCAAGCAACGCACCGCACTTGCTATGGCTGTTGAGCGTGATTCTAAAGCTGAGAGATTGGCTCTGTTCGAGGTTGAGCAGCGTTTGGCGGCGGTGGTCCGCCACAAGGAGGCCTTGGTCAAGGCTGAAGCTGCTCACGCAGAAGCTGTTGGGCAGTTGGAGCAAGCCGCTGCCGCCCATCGTGCTGCGTACGAGAAGATGGATACATTCGACCCTGCTGAATTCCGACGACAAATATTGGCTGATGAGCAAACCGAACGTGATATTCGTGAGCGTGAACGACGTGCTGCTGCTGATGCGCGTGGCCTTGCCCCGGGCGCTGGTGCTGCTGCCTTTGGAATCGTTATCAAGGTGGCGCTGATGCAATGCATGTCGATGGTGGACGTGCCCCTTGCTGCGCGCCCACATGGTGTACCTGCCCCTGCTGGTGTACCTGATGGCGAGGGGCGTGCTGAAGGTCCAGGAAGTGCTGCCCCTGAGCCCCTCAACCACGTCGGCATGTGAAAGGATGAGCTGCAGGAGTGGCGCGCCGCCAATCACCAGCGGCTCGAGTTCTGGACGCAGATCCAGGAGTTCAAGACGCACCTCGACCAAGGTGCGGTTTCTGAAGCTCCTTCTGATCTCGGTATTGAATCACTCAAGAAGCGCAGCATCGATTCCGCATTATCCCGGGATGAGCTTGATAAGATAGAAAACACTCATGCAGAAGCAGTCCCAGATCAAGGCCGCCAAACGTTTACGTACGGTTCGTCAAGGTGCAGCGGCTTCATTCAACCGGGTCTTGCAGCAGATGCAACTTGCTGCCCCTGTTCGCCACGCACAGGCTGGTGGAGGCCAAGCGTCAGGTGGGCCACATCTTTAACCAGACCGGCGCGCTGGAGGTGTCGAGGATCCTCAAGAGGTCGTCGACTATTGATCCGATGATCTGCAATATTACTTTTTGGAACCACGTGGCTTTGGATGTCTTGCAGCAGACTAGGCCCCTGCGCGACGGCTTCTTCATTGCTGAGCATCATCTTCTGGAGGACCTCTCGCGCGCCACACGTAATGCTTCTCAGATCGGCTGGAGGCCGCATCTGCAACCAGCCCCCCCCCCCTCCCCTGGAGGGGGCACTCATGGAGGAGCGGGAGCTGTGGTTTCTAAAAGTTTGAGTTTTCGTAGTTTTTTAGCTTCGGACTCGAGCCTGCATGATTTAGGCAGTGGCCTGAATTTGCATTTTTGGATTCAAAAACTAAGCAATGTGCTATTGCTGTCGGTGTGATATACCTAATTTCGACTTGGTTTTTTTAAGGGAAAACATCTGGCGGATCCGTGCCGTTTCTGAGTTCCTTGGGACCCTGGCCATCCCGTGGCTATGGATGGGAGATTTCAATGTGCCTGTGGAAGGTATGGACCTGCCTGGCTTCCCTAGGCATACACGTGCCCGCTGTCTTGTTCCAGATGATGTAGAGGTAACTTGTACCCAGGGACGTGGCACTCTCATTGACTACGTGATTGCCTCCGATGACTTGGCTGATTTCATGCGTGCTAGTACTCATACGCAGAGCCCGTTCAAGACGCATGCGTGTCTGAAAGTATGTATACAACATGGTGTTATTGAGCAGAGAATGTGGCAGCGTTGTAAGCCCTTGCGCTTTTCTGAATGTCCTGGACCTGACTTACCCAGGACTCAGCATTTCTTGGCATCGGCTACACATGTTGCGCGTAGGGAGTTTTTGCCGGGTGTCCCTGAGTACCTCTTTAATGCATTGGCTCCGCAGGTGCAAGACAATTTGAACGAAGGGCTTGCCAATCTCTATCGCACCAATGTTCGGGTCTCGCGCGGTTGCAGTCGACCAGAAAGAGAGCCGGGTAAAACGAGGTGATGTTCCTGCGTTTCGGTGCTCCACTTCATTCGTAGGAGAGGCCCTGTAGGCCAGAATTTCCGATAACCTGAACTTGCCTTTTGGGCCCAGTTTTCGCAGAACATGTGCGAGTACCGGCTTTACCTGGCACGTAAGTCTACACGCACGGTCGCGAGCTTAGGCAGCGTCTTCCAAGGGCTAGCTTCACAGCTGGACAAATACATCTACGCCGACGACGCGTGCGGCATTGGTTGGCGGCGCTCCCAGTTCGCATCCCTACCTACTGAGGTTGAGGACCTCGACGCCCTGACGGGCGCGATTGCTAGTGGCGCACGCGCTGCCTGGAAGGCCGCTCGCAACTCGCCCGGAGCTCGCGTGGAAAGGCTTGCTCCTGAAAGCCCTTCCCAAAGGTGCTAGACGAGTGCGTGCTCGGCTTGAGCATGGCCTTGCTGATGTTCCCCAAGTTTTGTTGGCCCCTAGGGGTGTCCGTCAGCTCCCTGGGGATCTTATGGATTACCGTCGTGCTTTCTGGCGCCAGGTTTGGGAGTCCCCTGATGGTTGTAGTTTGATTTCTGGAGTGCTGGATGCGCTGAGACCCCGAGCCCTCGAACCCATCGAGACCTTGGACACTCTGGAACCCGTCGATATCCAGAGGGCGGCTCGCTGTTTCTCTGCCTCCACTGCCGTTGGTGTCGACTCTTGGGCTCATGGGGCCCTGGTGGATTTACCTAGGGATGCTGTTTTGGGGTTCGCGCACCTCTTCAATCAGCGTGAAGCTTCTGTCCTGGCCCCTCAAGTGTATCTGAGTGTTATTGCTTTGCTCCCCCAAAATATCGAATGTGACCGTCCTATCTGTAAATGTGCGACTATTGACAGGGTGTACTGTAAGTCTAGGAATTCCGATCTGGATAGATGGACTTCTGAGAGGTACAATTTTTGGGACACTGCAGTGAGTGGGCCCTGTGCGCTCCAGGCTGTTCTACTTTGCGAGCTTGGTCACGACGTTGCCCGCGTCCTCGGGCTGTGCTCGGTCGGCGCCCATTGGGATCTAAAGCGTTGCTTTCGACTCGGTCCAGTCGCGCAGGCTGATTGAGCTTGCTGTGCAGATGGATTACCCGCTCCACCTCCTCTACCTCGGTATTCTTAGTCATGTATCTCCCCCTGGGTGTTTGAAGTTGTTGGTTTCGTTCCTGGTAGCACCCCTCCTGGACGAGGTATACCAGCGGGGTGTATGCAATCCATGTCTTGGGTTAGGGTTTATGTGTATGATATCCTGGACCTTGCGCATATCCAATATCGCCCTGCTAAGGTGAAAGCTTGCGTTGGCGACATCACCCAGTCCCGGGTAGGCCAGATGAATGACGCTTTGAACTCTCTAGTCCCTGCCCCTGTGTTGTTGGCCCACCAGCTTGAAGGATGTGTCTGCATCATCTCGTCCAAGTCTGCTCTTGTGTGCAGTCGTGCAGAGCCTGGCCGTGAGCCTGCCGCGCGTTTCAGGGCGACTGGTCTGCCCATCGAGCTCCAGGCCGCGGCTCGAGCTCCGGGGGTCGTGACCGCGGCGGGAAAACAGAGACCTACTGTGAAGTTGACGCAGCGCTGCAGCCAGGCCCCCAAGGAGGCCAAGAAGGTTGCCTTCCTCGCACGCATCGTCGTCAGTTCCCGACGACCGTACAATTCCTGGGGGTTCTCGCCGTCGGGCCGCGGTCTCTCACCGGGCGTTGGGCCTCGCTCCTGGGCAGATCCAGCCGAGGGGGGCCCAGGCGGCCACGTGCAGTGGTAGATGGCCCCCTGGGGCCTGCGCAGCCGCGGTCTCGGGGCTCGTCGGCGCTGCCGGGGATGGCCCCCCCAGTTGAGGCTTCGCTACGAGCAACCTGCTAGTTTCTGTAGTGCTTGGCAAGGTCTGCTAAACGGGTTGGGGGTTGCTCGGCGCTGGGAGCTTCTCGTTGAGAAGTTTCGCGAGGCCAGACATCGATGGCAATG